GAAGGCCCACAGCACAACTCGCTGTTACAGAGGAAAAAAAAATATGTGTAGGTTTCTCTGACTATAAAAATAACGAGACATTAAAATATTAATTAAATTTTAATACTTATAATTATAAATTACAAATACAAACTTAGAAATTATGATTAAAAATTAACTTTAATAATTATGTCTCCATTAGAAATACAATTATACAAATACAATTCAACATTTTATTTGGATCACAAAAGAAACAATGAATACCAACTAATCTGTCACAGCTAGTACATCATTCTTTAAGAATTCATCTGTAGTTTGAAGGAAACTCCAACCCACCAAATCCACATCCATCACCGTCTAAAGCAAAAGCAGCTTTGCCCATTAGCAAAAAAGCTAAACCTCAAAGGCTCTTCATCTCCGAAAAAGTACTTGATGCATCCCTCCAGTCTCTCCACTCCTTCTCACACTCGGGTCGCTTAACTACAACAATCTTTTCATAAAACCCCACCTTCACATTCACAACAATTACCCACACCGCCCCTGTCTTCCTCTTTTTTCTTTTCTGTCTTCAAAATGATTGGATATACCCAGAAGCTGCATCAATATTTTAATGTCATCAACATCATTAGATTCTTGATCATCGGTCGTTGTTGGGTTTATCTGAGGAGGGCTTTGTTGGGTTGAAGGTGGAAATTTGGGAGACAAAGATAAAAATGCTTGTGGGGCTTCTCTGTTGCCACTTTCTTGGAGAGTTGAGTTGTTGTGGGTTTGGTCTAAATGGAGATATATACCGGAGCCAAGCGGTTCTGTTGATGATTTGAACTTAAGAGTTGCTTTCTTGAACTGGTTGTGTAGGAGAGGGGTGATCTGTCTGATGTTCAAGCGTCAATCTTTTCTCAACCTGTCCGCAAGTTATTAACAATAATAATAATAACAAAAGAATGAGGTAGAAAATGAGCGTGCTTGATAGAGAATTAAATTGAGAACTGAAGCACTGGAGATACCTGCTTGACTGAGGAGAAGAAACTGGAGTGCCGAGATGGTGGCTGCATTGTTTGTATGAAAATCAAGGGTGTCACTCTTTATGCAAATAAAAATTTACACCAGTAAACTGACTCCCCTAGTCCCCTGTCCTCTTTGGTGAAAGCTACAAGAGGCTTTTGGATCTCACAAGTACAACTTGTGTACAGCTTTAACTTGAGAATCAACTATAGAGCAATTGCAATAACTTTAAAAATGTAGATTGGTACAGCAAAAACTTGAAGAAATGTTACAGTACCATGTCAGCAGGAATTCAATCAAACTACATGAGACAGCCAACATAACGAGCTCGAGGATACTTTCTCTGTAATTGTGGCCATTGCACAAAGAACTGATCAGCTATGCGTAACTTGTAAAGAAGCAAGCCACTTAAAGAAAGTCTTTTTCCTATTGCTATACTCTCAAAATAGAAAACAGATGACCATCTATTTTCGACCTGCAGGCAAAGATGACAAAGTAAAATGAGGAACTCTTAAGACATCACTTCAGCCTTATCTGGCCAACAAAAAAGTAAAACTAAGGGTTCAGAAGTATCTTCTACACACCTAAAATAAAAATGCAATTATGCATAGAGGAATACAAGTCCCAGGTCAATTGCAAAGAACCTAGATAGAGAGGAATTTGATAATTAGTGATGATACGATTTAAGGAAATGCTTAGTAACATTGCAATAACTACAACAGAACACAAGAGGTAAAAGGTCAAAGCTAATACCCGTGTGGTCTGATTCTAATCATTAGCCACAGTGCATGAGCAATGGAAGTAAAGTGTCCAAACAGAGGTTATATATGATTGACCAACTTCCCTGCTCTGTAGATCTGCATGAATGTGCAGAGGATCCCTTGACTCCACTCTGAAGATAAACAAAAGTCAATTAAATGAAAAAGACTAAATTAGTAAATGTATGATTTGGAAGAAAAGACAGCAATACCATATCAGGTCGAATACATATGTACAACTTTTAAGTGAAATGAATGGCATTTATGTATCCATTTAACATCTCCAGATAATATATATATTGTAATGCATAAAAACAAAACCAAAAAAAAAAAAAAAAAAAAAAAAAAAAAAAAAAAAGAAAAGCAGTGTCTGATCAACTGATGACTGATATCAGTATTTTGCATATATATGTAAATAGAGAGCAACACAGAGAGAGAACTCTAAACCAACTCCTACAAACAGATGGTATACAATGTTTCAAGGAGTTCCATACAAAAGCTTTGAGTCGCTAACTTGGAACTTTTGTTTTCCTTCAGAAATCCCCTAAAACCAGTAAGCAAACTCACTTTGAATCAGTCCCCACAAATGCAATCTAAAAATTATGTTTGGACTACTCCCTAACCAATTTAGGAGTCCAGCATCATGCTAAATCATTTGTTTTCCTTAACTCCTGCCTTATTCAAGATTCAGTCCTTATAGATCTTGGCCAAAAGGTTGTGAGGTCTGCTGTTTTCAACACTGTGAGGCTCATAGAGTACATCACTCCTTTACCGACTACACTTAAATTTTTAAAACGCATTACTTCAGCTTGACTGATTCATGGATCAATAATTATTAAGTTAAAAAGTATTTACTTAACACCCAAAAAACTAATAGTAACTTAAAATATAACGAACAGACATTCTCAAAGCTCTAAATATCGAAAATTTGATATGGACAAAAAACAAACCAAATTTGCAATTATGGGAATAAAAAAGGCATAATTTAATAACAAAATCTACCTTATGAACCAAGGAATCCTCGAAAACGCGAGCGTTTTGAAGACTCATATTATCAGTGGCAGCAGCGATGTAAAAGCGTGGTGCAAACCTCTCCATTGGCAGTACCGTAAGAGATTCATCATCTCCGCCGTGTGTCCGCCTACACAAATTCAATTGATAAAAGAATCTGATGAATTATAATAATAAAAGAAGAACAATTTGATTGGATTTTTTAATTACATGAAATTGACTCACCTGAACCTAAAACAACGAGCGTAAAGATTTGGTGTGGCTAGGTGTTCCCGTCAAAGAAGACGAATTGTGAAAATTGTAACACTAATGGCAACGAATGGCGAATGCCATTATGGACCAGCAACAGTCGATCAGTTTCTCCATCGCCGGAATTTATAATTTACATGCGTGTTTACTCTGCAGAAATTGGCGCGAATTCAATTTCTCCGAGAAGGGAAAATTGGAGAAATAGGTACAGTATAAACAGTTTGATTAAAAAAGAAGAAATATGAGCAGTGACCGTGATGGAAGCTCTTCTTTTCTTTCTTTATGTTGATGCACCATTTTGGCACCAATTAAAACTACGTGTAAAATATTGTGTTGGCCCAAAATATATGCGAAAATTTTTTAAAAACAAAGGAAAGTAAATGTAATGAAAATAGAGTTTTAAAGTGGTTTAGATGCTAAGGAAGCAAATCCTATGTTCACTGATGTTTTTATTTATGATGATAGTCAGGTTGATTTAGACGACTGACTTTCCACTAATGATACAAGATATCGAAGACTGTCTTTTCTAAAGAGAGAGTTTTCTATCAAGAGTAAAAGGTGCGAATCCCTTTAATGAGAGAGGAGCTCCCATTTTATAGTGGGATGCCTTGAGGTAATCATCACTGAATCTGCAAGTTAGTGGGATGATCCGTGCAAATCCTTCGCTTAAAGCAATTCACGTGATCTGCTGTAGAGGTTGGACACGCGGGATCATCACAACTCCTTGCTGGCCTAACGTGCAACCATTACTCTGACGGAAGCAAGCTGTGGGTGCCACCATGATTACACGAAGCAACTGCATCAGAATGACAATAGACTCTTTTTGAAGTCTGATCTTGCGCACTTAATTGAGCGCCACGTCAGCCCTAAGTTCCCAGCATGACACTTTATATGTTCAAGTTGGTTTGCGAAGCCCATTTTGCAAAGCCCAAGCCATCAATGAATTTGATACTGCAAATAAGGCACGAAAGAATTACTATTTGCAGTCCTTTATACGCTCACTTCAACATGTTACAGCAGCATGATGTCAAATTTTATACAGTAATAGATTATGTGAACATGTTTATAAGGATTCAGGTTTTGTTTTAGAGAAAGAGTTTGTCAATGTAGTTGTTAAATCAAACCGGAGAAGAATAATGAAAATGAGAAGCTCTATCGGCTCTTTCTTTCCCATATCTATATTTTGATCAGTCTAGAACAGAAAGAACAGATGATAAGCCTAAAGCAGATGAACCAAGGTATGGAGCTAAACAACAGGCGTAGGCCAAACTAAAGCGTTAAGTCAAGCGATTGTCCCCGGCACCCATACTGGATATTCGGGTAAGGGAAAGTTTGATTGGTGGGAAAGGAAAGACAGATTCCCTTGGTGAAAAGAAAAAGCAACTTTTGGGTTAAGAAGGGAAAGAATTCCTACCGGAGGAAAAAGAAGACGAAATAACTAGGGTTAACAAAGAAAAAGGTGACGTTTCAGCTCTTCGTTCCGCTCTTGGGGCGGACCGGCAGGTGTATAAAAAGGGGAAGTTTCCGGGTAGGTTTCCCGATTAAGGTTTAGATTCAAACGATTGACATTCTATTCTTCAGGAAGGTTATACCAGGGAAGTGAAAGTTTTTACGAAAGGAGGCCTGACCTTGTACCCAACATCCTTTCAGATAAGTTCATTCAAATTCTCCAGAAAAAATTGAACAATAGCGTCGACCATTTTCAATTGCAAGTTGAAAATCCAATGCTCTGAGAGAGATTTCTGATTGGAAGTAGATAGAGGCAGCCTTAGTAAAACTCCCCGTTATTTACTTCCCTCAATCCCACCGTTTTTGCTTTTAGTCCCGTTCCTTTTTCAAAAGATCGTGTATATGGCTATTGTATTGGAATAATTTTTTTATGAGAAACTTCTAACAAATTCTCACAAATTCTCACTTGATAGCACACATGCATGGGTAATCAGAAATCTTCACAGCGTTGGTAGGAAAAAAGGAAGAGACAGTGTTCACCAACAGAAATCTTCATAGATCAATATGTAATGATTTCAGAGTACTGAGGCTAACTAGTTCTGTGGGAAACCCCTTAAATTTTCTGAACTTTATAATACGCATTTCATGAAGAGAGGTGAGGGTTTGCACAATCCCATGGGGAAGATAAATTGAATCATGAATACTATCAACATATAGGTGAGTAAGGCTTCTGAAATTTAAGATTGATCTTAGCAACTTCTCACTGCAATCATAAATCACTAAAGTTTTTGCCAAAGGAAGACATGGCAAGGTTAATTCAGGACATTGGCAAATTTGAAGCTTGGTAAGACATGGGAATGACTCCCTTCCATCCTGTCTTGACAACCTTTGTAGCCTCGGCAATTGATAAATATAGAGTTTCTCCAAAGAAGGGAATTTACTGATCATTTTATCACCTTGGAAACTTGTATCAATGTACTCCAGGTGAATCAACTCACCAATAGTAAGATGTCCAAGACAAGGCAGTTGCCATAAGGGAGGAAGTTGAAAACAGTTCTCACATTGGGAGAGTGTGATAGAAACAACATTACTGAGAATTTGATTGTTCATCCAAACTGGAAATTTGACACCTTTGTAACCTTCAATCATCAAACTTTCAATGTTTGGGTGAGGTTTGAGGGCTTCGAATATTTTTCAACATTTTCCTGGGATTCAAATTCACTATCAAGTCCCCAAGACAATTCCAAGTGGTGGAGATTCGATTTTCCAACCAAATTGGCTTCTCTGGCTTCCATTAGATTGTGCACTCTATCAAGATGTGTTATACGTAATTCTCCTCCGAGATTTAAACCTTTCAATTCAGCCAAGTGACAACCTTTAGTTGTACCAACGATGAAGAGAGTTAAAGTCTTTAAGCAAGTGATCTGTCCAATTTCTGATGGCATTTGAGATAAATTGAAACATTCATTAAGATAAAGATGGCGAAGATTTTTCAAGCATCTCATGCGCTTAGGTAGCTTCTGAAGCGAATAACAATTTTTCAGATTCAAAGTTTGCAAATTATGTAAGCTACAAAGTGATTCAGGAAGCAGTTTGATATATGAGTCAGAAAGGTCCAAATACCTTAGATGCTTTAAACGGCTAATTGAACATGGCAACTCACTCATCAAGGTTACGTGGAACGCTCTTAAAGAAGTTAATCTAGAAATTCCACAAGAAAAGCTTAAGGTATTCCTCCCCAATGGGCTTCTTGAAGTTAGGATTAATGTCCTAAAGGTTTTAACTTGATACAAAGCTCTTGAACTAGTACAGTATGATTGCCACAAATCAGAATCCATTCTGACATGAACATTGCTTTTTGAAATATTAATTGAACTTTCAGCCTCTAGAATAATGCATTCATCCTTTGTAATAGATTGTGCAAGATCATGAACAAGGTCATGCATTTTGAATTTTACATTGTTGCCAAACTCATCCTTTTTGACTTCTTGAAAAAAAGATCGCCAATATAATTCATTGCATATCTCGTTTCCATTATCTTCTTGTTCAACATTTCCAGTTGTCTGAATAAATCCATTAGCAATCCAAAGATGAATCAGCTTTTCTTTCTCAATGTTAAAATCTTTAGGAAATACAGCACAGAAGGCAAAACATGGTTTCAGTTTTGATGACAAATGAGAGTAACTCAATCTTAGGGCTGGTAAGATGGAATTTTCATTGTGTGGCAAATTCCAAAGATCACTTTCCTTAACAGAAAGCCACTCGTTTTCCTTGCTTTTATAACGCATCAGACATCCTAGAGACTTCACAGCTAGAGGCACACCCCTACACTTCTTCACTATCTCTTTCCCTATTGCAACAAGGTTTGGACGTTCTTCTTTCTCTTGTCCAAATGCCTGTTCTTTAAACAACAACCAGCATTCATTTCCAGTTAATCCTGACAAATGATGCATGGGAAGCGTTCCCATAGAGGATGCAACCTTTCTACTTCGAGTAGTAACAATAATTGAAGCACCTTTCGATCCACATGCCAACACACACTTTAATCTATCCCACTTCTCTTGATCTTCACTCCATACATCATCTAACACAAGCAAATACCTTTTCCTGTTCAATATATCTTGAAGGCGTCTCTGCAAAGGGTCTAAGTCTAGATCTTCACAAGCAGTTCCAGTTGCAGATCCAATTATAGCTTTTATGATCTTTTTCACACTGAAATCCTCTGAAATGCAAACCCAAATTCTTAGCTCAAAATGCATGCTCACTCTCTCATCATTGTAGACCACCTGAGCAAGCGTTGTCTTCCCAAGGCCCCCAATACCAACAATAGGGTAGACGGAAATGTCATCACAACAAGCTACGTGATTCACCAAATTTTCAACATTTATTTCTTTATCTTCATCTCTACCATATACGTGAGATTGAGTAATGATGGAGCTAGCTTGGCGTTCTTCTCCGACTTCAGCTTCCCTCTGTAAAACTACCTCATTCAAATGAAACTTTGTCCTCTCCTCTGCAATTTCGTCTAACCTCTCTCTAATCTCTCTCATCCTAATGCCAATCTTGCGACAAAATAAAGTATTATCTGGACGAAGTTTATTTAAGAAAAAAGTGTTTACCTTGTTGATAAACCTTGAATTTTGGTCTTCAGACTCTAATTGAGAGACTTCTGCTGCACAATCATCCAAGATGTCATCTACCTTATAAGTTGCTTCTTTTAACTTCTGCAGCCAATTCTGAAGCGCCTTGTTTTTCACTTGCTTCTCCTCAGCATCTTCCAGCACAGCTTGAATAGTTGAGAGCAAGCTGGAAAGTTTTTTCATATCTTTGTCAACACCCCACAACAACCCAACCTCCTTTCGGATGAGTGAGTTCAAATTCTCCAGCAAAACTTGAATAAAAGCGTCAGCCATTTGCAAGTGCAAGTTTGAAAATCCAATGCTCTGAGAGAGATTTGTTATGGGAAGGAGAGAAGAGGTGGCCTGAGTAAATGGAATTAGAAGACTTGCACGTGGCTTGAAAGTCAATATTGTAAGAAAGTATAAAGAACTGACTCGAAAATTTGAGTCATCTCCTGGGCCAGTTAAGAAAAGTAAAGATTACCAACCAACCTAAGAAGGGCAAAGTATTTGTTTACTTTTAGCTGCTTCCTCTGCATCTTCAAGCACAACCTGAATAGTGAGAAAATTTAGCGGCCATCCCAAGTTTCCATTTAACAAAATGGTCTGAAAAAAATGTTTTTTTTTTTTTTTTTTTTTTTTTTTTTTTTTTTTGTGGCATAGTTAAGATTTATTAAACACGTAAAATGGGTTAAAATGAAAAGATTAAAACATATATTGGACAAATCATAAATAATGAAAGTTTTCAAAATTTAAAATTTTAAAACGAGCCCCACCTATTCACCTCGCTTAATCGAAAGTCATTAGGGCAAAAAGCGATTTCTTGAACCTAATGGAGACTATGCGATTTTCGATCGAACTTGCAAATTTCCACACCATATTCAATCCTAAAATCAATTTCTTGAACCCTAAACGAAATACGGCCGCGATTTCCGGCGATACAGTTGCGATTTTTGATCGATTTCTTGAACCCTAAATGAAATCTGTGCGATTTCTGGCGATACAGTCCACATTTCCGATCGAAATTGCAAATTTTGACACCATTCAATCCTAAACCATGGATGACATTCACAATGAGGAGGAAAACCCAACGCCACTTCGAATCTTAGAGTCTGGTGGCGCAAGCAGTTCAATGGCTGCTCCGGTGGATCATCTGATTAGTGAAGGTGGTCCACAGGCAGAGGAGACGACGGCGGCACAACAACAGAGAGAAGAATCACAAAACGGTTTTGAAGAGGAGGAGGCAGGCGAGAATTCAGGCGAGGAGGAGGAGTCTGACGAGAATTCAGGCCAGGAGACCGCCGAGGATTCAGGTGATGAGGAGGAGGCCGGTGAGAATGCAGGCGACGAGGAGGCCGACGAAGAAAGGGTACGTATTTGTTTTACGAGTATTGCTCTGTACTGTCGCTTAAGCGATCATTTGTATCGCTTAAGCGATTAATCTCTTTTACTCATGGTCGCTTAAGCGATTCATTCAGTTTACTCTTGGTCGCTTAAGTAATTTCAGATCACTTAAAAGATCTTGTCCGAGGCAGAATCATCTGCCTAGATCTAAGATTGCTTAAGCAATCTTTTGTATCGCTTAAGCGATTCTTTCACTTTACTCTTGGTTGCTTAAACGATTTCAGATCGCTTAAGAGATCTTGTACAAGACAGAATCAAGATCTCTTAAGCGATCTAAGCGATCTTTTGTATCGCTTAAGCGATTCTTTCAGTTTACTCTTGGTCGCTTAAGCGATTTCAGATTGCTTAAGAGATCTTGTACGAGGCAAAATCAAGATCTCTTAAGCGATCCGAAATCGCTTAAGCGACCACAGAGGTAATTTTTTGTTGCTGATATTTTATTTATTAGTTGTTTTGGTTTATTTTTGTTGCTGACATTTTGTTTATATCGCTTATGCAGATTGTGCGGACCGTAAACTTTAGAGACTATGGGTTGGAGCTTTTAAGCGATGATGTACCGTACTTCCCTATAAGGGTGACGGTTAGGTCGAGTTGGGACGTTTTTGATAGAATAAAGGAGATTATAGGTGGAATGAGGAATGGTCAAAAACGATTCTCAAAGACTTGTTTCAGTCAGTTTTTAAGAATCGGAGCAAATTGGAAAAAGGCGTTCTGGGGACAGGGAGTGCATTATATGTTGTTGCACTCAGTAAAATGCAAAAAAAATAAAGAAATGTGGTTCGTGGTGGACGGAAAGCCACTATGTTTTGGGATGATGGAATATGCCCTGGTGACAGGCTTAGGATGTGGGAAATTGCCAGATGAGGAAGAGGCAGATGCAATAAGGAAGAGTACGGCAGCCACAAGGTTTACTGACAAGGTTTTGTAAGGGGCAGCATCTATTACAGGACACGTTTTAGAGTAGAGGCTAGGAACAGTTTGGTTTAATGATTGAGAGAAGTTAAAAGTGTGCTTGATATTGTTCTTACATTCGATCCTATTGGCTGGTGACTTAACAAAAGCTATTGAGATGGATTGGTTGTTGTTTGCAAGTGACTTGAACTTCTTTAATTCTTATCCGTGGGGACGGGTATCATTTGAGTGAACCATCCGCTCCCTTCAAGCAAAAGACATGGCATTAAAGCAGTCTCAATGGGTCGGGAAGGAAAAACTAAGCACGTATAATTTTTTTGGCTTCCCATGGGCAATGCAGGTAAATATTAATAGTTTTTGTTATATTTTTTGTAATATATGTGTTTGAATTATGATATGGACTGTTTTTTTACAATGTAGGCCTGGATGTATGAGGTCATCCCTGTCTTCACTAAGAGAGAAGGGGGGGGGGGGGGGGAACAACAGTTTGGATGTGCAACAGCAATTTCCTAGGATGTTGCGGTGACATGTCGAGAGGTGTAACCATTGGGATTATGACCAAATAGATATTGAGATTGAAACGGTTGGGTTAAGATTAAAGGATTAAACTTTTGAATATGTAGTTGCTTTAAAATGTTGCTTCAATCTGATTGATTTGTTTCTTATTGTAGGGAGTCATCTTTCCCTTTCTCATCGCTATTGGGGATGAAGCGGAAATGGACTATGTCACATCTTTTGAAGCATTGGAAGATGAAAGTGATGAACGGATAGACCGCCTGATACGGGACCTAGAAGGGGTCAAGCATGTGACGGCAGTTGCAGGGCCACTGCTTGACAATATGGTTGATGCCAAGGATGATGAAGCTCCAATCGGCGGGAGGGAGGGGGAGGAGGAGGAGGAGGAGAAGAGAGAGGAAGAGGTTCGTATGCCTCAGCAAACCAGTACAACAAGTACCGCTTTGCCGAGACATCGGCATTGGGAGAATGAGGTGGTTGACCTCATAAACGGCCTGTTTGAGAGTTTTACAACAGCCGTTTATGACAGGTTTCACAAGATGGAAGAGTGGATGAAAATGGTGGAGGAGAAGGTGATAAGGTGGCAGAGAAAGTTGGTACAGTAGAGGAGGAAGTTGGTGGGGTATTAAAGGCAGTTGAAGTGCAACCTGGGCTGAAAAGAGAGAGCTGAAAGAGCAAGTTTGTCAAATCGCCTTACATGGTAGTGACAAAGGTAAAGAAGAGGAAAATTAAGAAACAAATGGAGGAAGAAGCAAAAATGGACGAGGTTAAGGAGGTTGGTGGAGGAAGTGGGGTAGTGATAATGGAGGAGGGTGGGGTGGGAGGCGAAGGAAGCGGGGATGTACAAATGGAGGAAGGGGGAGGAAGTGGGCAAGCGAAAATAGACTCAAAGGTTGATTTGTATAGGCCAATAGAGGAGGAAAAGAAAAAACTCTTCTATGCCTATTACAATGAATCAAGAAGTGATGCCCATATAAAGTGTAAGACAGAGGATTATGATCGGGAATGGTTTGAAAAGTTATTGACGATGGGCAGGTGGCTTGAGGACTCGGTGAGTTATTTTCGCTTAATTTTCCTTATTTTTGCTTATGTTTTCCATACTTATCTTGTTGTTTTTATTTGATGCAGCACATCGATGAGATATTGGTATTAATGAGGCTACGACAGACCAGTAATGGTGATCTATTGTATCCCAACTGTGCCATCACCGATGTCGCATTTGGCCAAACGCTTATTTTGACATATTGCACTTTAATTAAAAATGTCGTTGGTAGAGTTGCAGCAAAAGGAGCGAAGCGAAAAAGATCAACCCCAGAACAATTGGATTGCATCCCTAATGATTTTAAGTTTGATGACAGGATTATGCAGTATGTATGGTGGGAAAGGCCCAAATATGGCCACGATTGGGCAATGGTTAAAAGAGTCTACTGCATCATCCTCGTCAGAGAGATGCACTGGATAGCAGTCGTCGTGCATCTAGAGGATGGGTTGCTGAAGATCCTTGACTGCAACCCAACTATTTATCGAGACAAGCAGTTAGAGATCGAGTTGGAGCCATTGTCCAGGTTGTTCCTGCGGCTGTTGCGTGATAGCGGGATGTTTGGGCACTTTGGTGATCAAGTACTAACTAGAAAGTGGCCACTTAAGCGCTCTACCATCCCAATAAATGAGTCAAGGTAAATTTTGTATAAAACTAACTTACATAATACAATTGTTCTATAAGTTTATTCTAATGCTAATGTCTTCTTCCTATGGTAATGCTGAATGTGGTTCATATGCCCTGAAATTTATTCAGTTCGACATGACCAACACCCTGATGGATGGCTTGAATGACAAAACAATGAGTAACTGTTAAGAGCGCTGGGCTGTTGAGTGTTTCCAGGGGCATATGGATCAATTTTGAGTGACCATAACTGTAATACCCAAGATGTCAAAGGTATGTTCCTAACTCAAAATAGTCCTTTAAATGTTTATTTTATGTTAAAAAGCATAAAATCTAACCAAGGGCAAAATAGTCAATTCATTTGGAACGGTATGATCAATTATCCATAAAGAGGCTTAGGGGAAAAATGGTTATTTTGCCTATGGATAAGCATTGAAAAAGTCAAGGATGAGTAAGCTTCATTGCATTTAATGACATTAATTAAGTAATAATTATGTCTAGTGTGAAATGACCAAAATGCCCTTATATGAAGAATTAAGGACTTATGAGTTATACAATTAAAATAAGTGGGCCAATTACATAATTTTGGAAAATAAATGAAATATTTTCCTATAAATGAGATGAAATTCGTTCAAGCCAAAGGAGAGAGCCTTTCTTCAACATTTCTTCCATTTTCTCTCAAATCTTCCATGAAACAAGCTTTCTTTCTCTAGGTTTTCAAGGAGTTTTGCATAATTTTTCAAGGAGAACAAGATAGGAGCCTTGGATCTTCAATTTGAAGGGTTTAAGGTAAGGATTA